CTAGTGTCCATTCCTCCTTCATTTATAGTTGCTTTACTGGTAGTAATCTTAGATGTTTCTCTACTATCCTCCACGTTTTCAGCACTGACCACATTCAATTCTTTTTCCAGATTCTGCTCGTCCAGATTACTCAGCTTTGTTTCAACTTTTCCGTCTAGATCTGCATACAGTATCAATGCTGATGGAATTAATATATCTCGCTTCAGAATTCTTCTCCTCTTTTCTTCGACCCTCGTTTTTCGGCAAGTTCTCCCTTTCAGATTGCCGAACATCTTCCTTTTCTTTCCTACGCCATACTTTTCTATCTGCTTTAGGAATAATATCGTTCTGAATATTTCCTCCTCCTTGCTTCTTCCATTTACAGACCCCCTCTAAGTGCCCTTGATTTCGGCAGAATAGACAGAAGTAAGGCAGCTTTTCATAAACTATTTCTTGAAATCGACTAGATGGATGGTTAGGCACACCCAACCAGAACGACTTCACCAGTTGTTTTGATATATCGATCTCCACACAAACGCGAGCACCATCTGTGCGGGAAGCACATGCTGTGAAATTATCTCTCTTCAAATATCGTCCGAATGCACCAGAAATAATTCGCAACATCGATTCATGATAATATTGGGGGGAAAGTCCTGGAAGAAAAACCCATACCGGAACAAGAGAAGATTCTTGATCTTCATCAAAATCTGGAGACCAGATAAATAGTCTATTCGGTGCACCTTCGATTTCTGCAGATTTACGCACACAGGCAATACCAAAATCTTCCTCTGACGTGAATTGAATGAAAACATTACGTGGTCGCTGCATGGTACTCACCGAGAAGAAACCCTTTATTCCCCATCGAACCTCGATGAAAAGTCAGATCTGATCCAGCGTAGGCCTCCTTTTCATGAATTTTAGAACTACAGAAAACCGGAATGGGGAGGCTGCAACGTCCAGTTCAGTTTTGGAAAAGTGGAACCATAAAGTTCCATCGCTTTCATTAGGTTTTCTCATCTCGATCTTAGCCTCTGGTATAGGTTGAGGTCTTGCCACCACCACAAACGCGTAGGTCGCATTCCTCCCCGCCGCCTTGACAGCCAGCCGAGAAGGAGGCGCCTCCGCCATCCCTCAGCGAGCTCTAGGTTTAGGGTTACGTTTTATTTTTTGAAAGTTTTTTTTTTTCTAGAGAGCTTTTTCAATATAACTCTATTAGTAAGGATTTTTAGGTTATTATTAAAGACAGCATCTCCAATTATCTATATAGATCTCCTAAGTAATCAAAAACCTCTCCAATAAAAGAGATG